AAGGGAGAATATATGTTTTGGGCAATTGCAATTGCAATTTCAGCTTCATAGAAACATTTCAAAACTCTGCTAGCTAAGTATATGTTTTTTTATGTAATGGCATGTCTTTGTCCCTGGCAGTTCAAAGACATGGTTTATCAGTTTAACAGCTGAGTTACCTGTGTGCCATTACATGAATGCTTGTGAACATCACTTTTTCAAAGTGTTGACTTCTAACAAGGTCATGCCTTTCCTTGACTAGCGGTTTTCAAAATGTGATCTCCAGATGTTCATGGAGATTCATATTTGCCAAAAGGATATGACATCATTTTTTTCCTTTTCAAAAAGGTTGTGAATGCAATTTTTCCAAAAATCCAAGCAACCCCAACAGATGGCCATCCAGACTCTGCATAAAAGCTCCAAAGAAGGAGCTTCCACCAGACTCCGAGGCAGATAGTTCCACTATTGAATAGCTCTTATAGTCATGAAGTCTTTTAAATGTTCAGGTGGATCAGGGTACAAATAAAGTTTATTATTATTATTATTATTATTATTATTATTATTATTATTAGCTGTCCCCTGCCACACGTTGCTGTGCCCCTGTCTGGTGATCTGGAAAATAAAGTAATGAGAAAGTGTTGGTTTCTAATATATGTAATTCCTTAATGCTTGTGAGTAAACAGTATTTCTTATTGTTTCTGTGACAGTGTTGATGTGGAGAGTGTCTGGTTTGCCTACTCTGGAACATGCAACATATCATTGTCCTTCTTTAGGGCTCCCTTTCAAATCTAGGATACTATATCTGTGTGTGTGTGAATCATATCTATCTATATCTATGGCTGGATGGCTCTTTGTCAGGAGGGCTCTGATTACATTTTCTTGCCCTGGTGAAGAGAGTTGGACTGGATGGCCTTAAGTATTTTCTGTTGGTCATGGGGGTTCTGTGTGGGAAGTTTGCCCCATTTCTGTCGTTTGTGGGTTTCAGAATGCTCTTTAATTTTAGTGAACTATAAATCCCAGTAACTACAAATCCCAAATGTCAAGGTCTATTTCCTCCAAACTCCATCTGTGTTCATATTTAGGCATATGGAATTTTTGTGTCAAGTTTGGTCCAGATCCATCATTGTTTGAGTCCACAGTGCTCTCTGGATGTAGGTGAACTACAACTCCCAAACTCAAGGTCAATGCCCACCAAACCCTTCCAGTGTGTTCTGTTGGTCATGGATCCTATATGCCATGTTTGGTTGAATTCCATCATTGGTGGAGTTCAGAATGCTCTTTGATTGTAGGTGAACTATAAATCCCACCAACTACAACTCCCAAATGTCAAGGTCTATTTCCCTTAAACTCCATCTGTGTTAATATTTGGGCATATGGAAATTTGTGCCGTTTGGTCCAGATCCATCATTGTTTGAGTCCACAGTGCTCTCTGGATGTAGGTGAACTACAACCCCCAAACTCAAGGTCAATGCCCACCAAACCCTTCCAATGTGTTCTGTTGGTCATGGAAGTCCTGTATGCCATGTTTGGTTGAAATCCATCATTGGTGGAGTTCAGAATGCTCTTTGATTGTAGGTGAACTATAAATCCCAGCAACTGCAACTCCCAAATGTCAAGGCCTATTTCCCTTAAACACCATCTGTGTTCATATTTGGGCATATGGAATATTCGTGCCAAGTTTGGTCCAGATCCATCATTGTTTGAGTCTACAGTGCTCTCTGGATGTGGGTGAACTATAATTCCCAAACTCAAGGTCAATGTCTACCAAACCTTTCCAGTTTTTTCTGTTGGTCATGGGAGCCCTGTGTGCTAAGTTTGGCCCAATACCATCATTTGTGGAGTTCGGAATGCTCTTTGATTGTACATAAACGACAAATCCCAGCAACGACAATTCCCAAATGACAAAATCATTTTTTTTAGTGGAGGACATAAATTGGACTGTTAGGTGTCTTGTGTCCAAATTTGGTGTCAATTCCCCCAGTGGTTTTTGAGTTCTGATGGTAGCACGAACTAACATTATATTTTTATTTATATAGATTATTATTATTATTATTATTATTATTATTATTATTATTATCTCCTTTCCTGTAATTTGAACCTATTGCTCCCAGTCCTAGTCTCCAAAGCAGTAGAAAACAATCCTGTTTCTTCTTCCTTATGACATCCTTTCAAATATTTAAAAATGGCAATCATGTCTTCTCTCAAAGCTCACTTCTGTAAACTAAACAGACCCAAATCTCTTTATGCTTAAAATGCAATAAGATACAGAGCAAGGATGGAAATCATATGGTCCTCCAAATGTATTTGGGCTGTGTTTCTCATCATCTTGCACCATTATCTTTGCTTGCAAGGGCTGATAGAATCCAACCACATGAAGGGCCATTGTAGTGAAATTGATACTCTATGTTAAAGTTTTGGTGTATAGCTCTATGCTTACATATGGCAGATGGGGAAGAATAGGCACAGACAGGGTAGCAACAGCAGAAATAGGATTCATTTGCATATATGGAGCCGATTGGTCATGTGCAGATTGGTGTAGGCCCAGGATTTGAAAAGGCTGCTAGGCCAAAATGACAGTTGGGGAGAGCAGAGCTGAACATTCCAAAGGGGCGGAGCCAAGGTTCTGAAAGAGGCAGTTAGAGTGAGGGAGTTTGAAAATGACAGTTAGGAATCTGTGTGTGAAGAGGAGAGTTGGTTTTTGAGTGCTTGATAGAAATAGGCAGTTATGAAGATGTGTTAAAGACTTCTGATATAGAGAAGCAGTTAGTTAAATAGAGCTTGAGTTTTAAGGAACATAAAGAAGCCTAATGTTGCATTAGTTCAGAATATAATTCAGCCAAGAGTGTGTAAAGCAAGTAACATGTTTGTGAATGTGAAACATTGATAGTTTATTCAGAAAAGTTAACCAAGTAAATGATACTGACTGTAAGCCTCAAGATTGCAACAAAACATAAATGTAACCACAAGCGTTGGAGCCAGAAGTTATAAATAAACTGTGTTACTTGTTATACACAAGAGTGTTTCATTGCCTGTGATATAAAGTACAAAGGTTTAACAGCACACAGAAAGTCCCAGCCAATATAAAAGAAGAAACTGAATCAGTATAAAGCAACAAAGAGGTTTTTAAAGTGGAAATAGTCTCTCTCCCTCGCCTCAGCCATCATCTCTCTTCTGCTCCTTGTGTTGTTGAACACAGCACCCCCCGCCCAGATGATTTATAGTTCTCTAAGGGCACCAGAATAAAATAGATGACATTCCCTCCCTTCTCTGCTGAACTTCCGTGACTCTAGCAGAGAGCAAGACTGGCAGGCAGACCAGTAGCCACAACCCTCCCTTAAAGTTCATTTTCATTTTTTATTAAAAGTCCGCAGATACGTGCTGATATGTATCAGTGCATGTGCAAATTGGATCTGCAGCAATGACACTCACACAGATTTATTTATTTATTTATTTCACAGTTTTCTATACCGAGCTTCTCAACCTCATTGAGGGACTCAGCCCGGTTTCCAGCCATAAAAAACATATATACTCATTAAAATATCATATATCACAATTACAAAAACAACTTTAAAAACACTATATATAAAACTACAGTGGTCAGTCATCCTATTAAGATGGATCTACATCAACTTCCATCCAGGGTCCTATGGTGTTGTCTCATTCATCGAAGGCCTGACTCAACAGCCACGTCTTCACCCGTTTCCTAAATGTTAGGATGGATGGGGCGGTTCTGGCCTCCAGAGGGAGAGAGTTTCAGAGTCGCGGGGCCACCACCGAGAAGGCCCTGTCCCTTGTCCCCACCAGGCGCGCTTGCGAGGCCGGTGGAACCGAGAGCAGGGCCTCTCCAGATGATCTTAATAATCTTGATGGTTCGTAGGGGAGAATACGTTCGGAGAGGTAAACAGGGCCGGAGTCGTTTAGGGCTTTATAGGTCAACACCAGCACTTTGAATTGTGCTCGGAAGCTAATTGGCAGACAGTGGAGCTGGCGTAACAGAGGAGTGGTGTGCTTCCTGTACCAAGCCCCTGTTAGTAATCTGGCTGCCGCGCGTTGGACTTGCTGCAGCTTCCGGGCAGTCTTCAAAGGCAACCCCACGTAGAGAGCGTTGCAGTAGTCTAAGCGGGATGTAACCAAAGTGTGTACTACGGTGGCCAAGTCAGCCCTCCCAAGGTACGGACGCAGCTGGCGCACAAGTTTTAATTGTGCGAATGCTCCCCTGACCACCGCTGAGACCTAGGGTTCCAGGCTCAGCGATGAATCCAGGTGAACTCCCAGACTGCGTACCTGAGCTTTCAGGGGGAGTGTGACCCCGTCCAGCACGGGCTGTAACCCCGTACCCTGTTCGGTCTTACGACTGACCAGGAGTACCTCTGTCTTGTCTGGATTTAGTTTCAATCTGTTGTCCCTCATCCAGTCCGAGACAGTGGCCAAGCACAGAGATCCTATCCTTTTCCAACCCTTCAATAAAATGTATATTTTCTTGTAACTTTTTGCCTATCTCATATCTTTTACTCTCTGCTTTACCCTTATATGTATCAAATATGCATTAAATAATATGATTTTTGCCCAAGCGAGCCACAGGGACATCACTTCCTTGCTGACCCCAAGGAATTTCCTGGACATCTGGGGCCAGGAAAATTCCCAAGACAAAGGCGACAATCGAGGTCCATTGTGTACACATGTGGACCAGCAGGCGGGCCAATCAGGAAGGGAGGTGGGCGGAGTGGGAAGTTTGAATAGATGTTAAGTGTATAAAACCTCATGTCTCTGTATTTCATGATATGCTTGTACATTTTGGCATCTGCCATGCTTGCATCTTTTCTGGCTGGATTGAATAAACCTCTGTGACTTATATTTGTCTTGTATGTGTGTTCTTTACTCTGGAACTTCAGACTTTAGCAGAAATGCTCACCGGGCATGGACCCTCTGTATTGCGGTCCTAGTCTAAATTTGACCTCACTTGCAGTATCCTTGATCTGGGAATTATTCATTAAAAAGGTATTATAAAACATGTTACTTACCTTTGCAAACTTATCTCTACTGCTCCATCAGAAAAATGGAAGAGGAATCCATTCACAATCAGAGCCCATTGCACTCCAAGGGCAGCAAGGCAAAGGCCAAATCCAGTGCTGCTGAAGCCGTACCTCTTCAGAAAGGCCAGCAAGAAGGAGAAGCCAAGAATCACCATGACATTGACATCTTGAAATGCTGCGTAGAAAAAAATATTGATGAAGCACAACTAGTCTTAAACGATTCGGGACCTGCCTATTTTCACAACCGCATCTTCCCCTACGAACCTGGCCAAACTCTAAGATCTTCTGGGGAGGCTCTTCTCTCACTCCCTCCTCTGTCTCAGGCATGTCTGGTGGGGACGACAGAGAGGGCCTTCTCGGTGGTGGCTCCCCGGCTCTGGATTAGGCTGACACCCATTTTGTCCATCTTTCACAAAGAACTAAAGACATGGATGTTCCACTGTGCCTTTGATTAGATTGATAATTAGATAGGAAATTTCAGCCCCCACCCAGCTATAACTGAATACTTAGTTTCTGCACTTTTCTAGTGTTTCCTACTCAGAGTTACATTGTTCCACCCTATTTTGCCCTTCATCCCTAGTTTTGTCATCTGGTATTTACACTTTATCCATTAGCCCTATCCTCACAATTGATTGCATCAGCCCACCCACCTGAGTTCAGAAACTGTTACTATTTCAGGCTACTGGTTGTTGCTCGTTGGTTTTTATAGTGTGTTATATATCTGGTTGTGTTATATTGTTTTATGATGTTGTTATTGAACAACAAGTTACATTGTTGGACTTGTCCCCATGTAAGCCGCCCCGAGTCTCTTCGGGGAGATGGAGGCGGGGTACAAAAATAAAATTATTATTGTTATTATTTTTATTATTATTGACACAAAAACACAGTATGACACAGGAAATGAGATATATATGCTGGATTTCATATCACAAAATCACAACTTGAACACTTCCCAAGCGTTTAGGATTGTGTGATGTATTTTCGAATGATGCACGCAGATCCAATAAAGGTAGCTTTTTGCAGTTATTACTATTATTACTATTACTATTATTATTATTATTATTATTATTATTATCATTATTATCATTATAGTAGGATGCAGAAATAAGTAACTGTTAAAATGTGACAGAAGGTCAGCACATTAACATGACATAGTAATGTTTCTCAGCTTCAGGGAATCTTGGATGAAATCGATTATCTAAATCAGGGGTCCCCAAACTACGGCCCACGGGCCACTTCCGGCCCACCAAGGGACTTATCCGGCCCGCGGAGGAGGAGCGCCCCCCCCACACACACAGTGCCCCTCCCTTGGCTGGCTCACGCTATCCATCAGGCCCGATGGACAGCGTGAGCCAGCCAAGGGCAGCAGCGAGGTGCTTTACGCGCCAGTAGGCCGCGCGGGGCTGCTCCTCCCTTGGCAGGCTCACGCTATCCGTCAGGCCCGATGGGCAGCATGAGCCAACCAAGGGAGGTTGCCCCGGCGCTCCATTCAGTCATGCTGGCCACATGACCTTGGAGGTGTTTACGGACAACACCGGCTCTTCGACTTAGAAAGGCAGATGAGCACCACAGAGTCAGACACGACTGGACTTCATGTCAGAGGAAAACCTTTAGCTAGGAAAATTGTGGAAGATCCAGAGTGGGAGAAAGAACTCTTGTCTGTTGGAGGTAGGTATGAATGTTTCAATTGGCCACCTTGATTACCATTTCATAGCCTGACAGTTTTTAGGGAGAATCCTTTGCTGAGAGGTGATTAGCTGGCCCTGATTGTTTCTTGTCTGGAGTTCCCCTGTGTTTGAGTGTTGTTCTTTATTTACAGTTATAATTTTAGAGGTTTTTTAATACTGGTCGCCAGATTTTGTTCAGACTAGAAATAGGAAGATTTCCCATTCTCTGCTCCTGGAATTACTGCCTAAAGAGGGCTAGAAAGAACCCCCTCTAAGGGCCCTTCCACACAGCAAAGTAAGATATGTGCAATGTGCATAGGAATGTTTTTATTGGTTTTTTTTAAAAAAAACTATAGTCCGGCCCTCCAACGGTCTGAGGAACTGGCCCCTGGTTTAAAAAGTTTGAGGACCCCTGATCTAGATCCATTGCAGGCTGGCTTCAGGCCTGGTCACAGTACAGAGACAGCTTTGGTCACTTTGGTGAGTCCCCCCAGCGGTGAGAAAAGCGGTATATAAATGCTGTAAATAAATAAATAAATACCACCGCAGACACCTTGACAAGGGGAGTGTGTCCTTGTTGGTTCTCTTGGACATCTCAGTGGCTTTCAATACTATCGGCCATAGTATCCTTCTGGGACAGCGCTCCAGAATGGGTCTTGGGGGCACTGCTATGCAGTGACTCTGCTCCTTCCTGGACGATCGTACCCAGTTGATGAAGCTGGGAGACACCTACTTGGACCCCTGGCCGTTGTCCTGTGGGGTCCCTCAAAGTTCAATTCTTTCTCCTATGCTTTTCAACATCTACATGAAATCGTAGGGAGAGGTCATCCAGAGTTTTGGAGCTTGGTGCCATCTCTATGTAGATGACACTCAACTCTACTACTCTTTTCCACCTAATTCCAAGGAAGCTGCCCAGATCCTGGACCAGAGACTGGCCACTGTGATGGACTGGATGAGGGATAACAAGCTGAAGCTTATTCCAGACAAGACAGAGGTCATCCTGGTCAGTCATGAGGTCAATCGGGGTGTAGGGTGGCAACTTGTGCTCAGTGGGGTTACACTCCCCCTGAGGACACGGGTCCGCAGTTTAGGGGTCCTCTTGGACTCAGGGACACATGAAATGACATGGTGGGCCAGATTTTCCCGACAAACCTTGAGTTTGATACATGTGCTGTAGAAGCTTTGCTTTCCTGCAATAAGCTTGAAAGCATACATCACTTTATCATCCAAGAATGCCCTTCCTAATAACAAAAACATTTGTAAAGTCCCATTCAGCAAAGGTCTCCTGTAATGTTAATCAGAAACGTCCTCCTGACATGCTGCACTTGTAGTGCTGTCTGTCCAGTGATGAATTATTTCTCAACTGCCACATATTTAAAGCCCACCTAGTCATTCTAAATAAACTAAATATGATGGAAATATAGCGTGTAAGTTCCACACTTCCTCATCCTTCCTCATATGAATGCTTTCCTCACTTAAAAAACAGTTTTTTCAGGTTTCAGGATTGTGTGGACAATGACTATGAATATTAGCAGGGCTCTTCTTCAAGCATATCTCTTTTAACATAAATAGCGTAGCCTTGGGAATAGGAGTAAGCTGCTTTCCTTATTGAATACATGTTATGTTAAACTTTAGTTAGATTTCCTCAATAGGTTTTGTGTGAATGTTATCTATATAAATAAAAATGTAATGTTCGTTTGTGGTATTCACAGAACTCAAAAACCCCTGGACGAATTGACACCAAATTTGGACACAAGACACCTAACAGTCCAATGTATGTCCTTCACTCAAAAAAATTGATTTTGTCATTTGGGAGTTGTAGTTTCTGGGATTTGTCGTTTATGTACAATCAAAGAGCATTCTGAACCCCACCAACAATGGAATTGAACCAAACTTGGCACACAGTTCTCCTATGACCAACAGAAAATACTGGAAGGGTTTGGTGGGCAGTGTCCTTTGGTTTTGGAGTTGTAGTTCACATACATCCAGAGATCACTGTGGACTCAAACAATGATGGGTCTGGACCAAGCTGTACAGGAATACTCAATATGCCCAAATGCGAACACTGGTGGAGTTTGGGAAAAATAGAATCTTGACATTTGGGAGTTGTAGTTCCCGGGATTTGTAGTTCACATACAATCACAGAGCATTCTGAACCCTAGCAACGATAGAATTGGGCCAAAACTCCCACACAGAACAGCCATGTGGGCCACAGCAACGCGTGGCAGGGGACGGCTAGTATATATATGTGTGTGTGTGTGTTTGTAATGCATGCATTAGTTTTCAGCATTGTTATTTTTTATGTATTTTATGTACTGATAATTGATGAAAACCAAAGTCAACCTCCATTCAATCATGATGTAGAATACTGGTGGGTTTGGGGGAAGGGGATTGATTTTGTCATTTAGGAGTTGTAGTTGCTGGAATTTATAGTTCACCTACAATCAAAGAGCATTCTGATCTCCACCAATGATGGAATTGAACCAAACCTGTCACACAGAACTCCCATGACCAACAGAAAATACTGGAAGGGTTTGATGGGCATTGACCTTGAGTTTTGGAGTTGTAGTTCACCTACATACACAGAGCACTGTGGACTCAAACAATGATCGATCTGGACCAAACTTGGCCCGAATACTCAATATGGCCACATGTGATCACTGGTGGAGTTTGGGGAAATTAAACCTTGACATTTGGGAGTTGTAGATGCTTGGATTTATAGTTCACCTATAATCAAAGATCATTCTGAACCCCACCAATGATATAATTGGGCCAAACTTCCCATATAGAACCCCCACGACAAACAGAAAATACTGTGTTTTCAGATGGTCTTTGGTAACCCCTCTGACACCCCCTTGCAACCCCCCCTCCAGAGGTCCCAACCCCCAGGTTGGGAAACACTGGGATAGAAGAATGAGCAGAAAAGGGATGATTGCTAATAAGATTTTTTAAACCCTAATTCAATTATATTTATATTAGAATGGGCAAATTAACTGTGATGTTATGTTAAATTGCCATTTAAATTTTAGTTAAGTGTCTCCATTAAAAGCCTTCGAAAGATTTAATGTGCCATCCATGCAATCCCTGCTTTATGCTTCACAGAGAAAGAAAAAGCCACATCATTTTTGTAAGCCCAATTTCTTTCCTTAAACGAATATCTTTTAACTTTTAATTTGTTAGTTTATTGAGTACAGGTACTTAGCTCAAGTTAATGGCAATTTAACATAAATATAGTGACTTCCATGGTTCATGTATAGTAAAGGTAAAGTCCAGTCGTGTCCGTCCGACTCTGGGGACTGGTGCTCATCTCCATTTCTAAGCCGAAGAGCCGGCATTGTCCATAGACACCTCCAAGGTCATGTGGCCGGCATGACGGCATGGAGCGATGTTACCTTCCCACTGGAGCAGTACCTATTGATCTACTCACATTTGCATGTTTTTGAACTGCTAGGTTGACAGAAGCTGGGGCTAACAGTGTGAGCGCACGTTGCTCCCTGGATTCGAAGCT